CACACACACACATTAGGGCACAGAGGTAAAACTGCTGTAAGGATTCAGATGGACCAGTTTCTGCTCGGATCACCTTTGAGAAGAAGATGCGGAATGTGAATGCGAGATTGAGCCACGAGATGTGCAGCTCCGACTCACTGCTCCCGCATCTCCCAGCGATCTGAGCTCCACGCGGGATCGACACGGACGCCTGCTCCGTGATCAGCTGCACACACACACACACACACACACACACACACACATCAGATCATCATCTCATGTTTGTTCATGAAAGTTTTCAAACGTTTAAAGCATCCTGACGGGTCGTGCGGATCATGATGAAACGTTTAAAGCATCCTGACTGGTCGTGCGGATCATGATGGCATTTCTGTTTAACTTCGTCCAAATGCATTTAGAATCCGTGTTGATCATGTTTGGACTAGACCAGCTCAGAATGCTTCATTTAGGATTTTAGAGTTGCTCACATCGATCCCGTTCAGTGCCAGCACGTCGTAGGGAATCAGGAATTTCACCGCAAACTCCGCCATCAAGCAGGTCGTTCCGTTTTCTCTCACTACGAAAATATCCCGGTCAGGATTCGGCGACAGTCCGGAGAGATTCTCCACCTCCTGCTCCGCAGAAACACAGAGCGCCGACAGAGACACTGGAGAGACCAGGAGAACATGTGAGGAACCAGGAGAACATGTGAGACTCACACACACACACACACTCTCTCTCTCTCCCTTTCACACACTCACATACACACACACACACACACACACTCTCTCTCTCTCCCTTTCACACACTCACATACACACACACACACACACACACTCTCTCTCTCTCCCTTTCACACACTCACATACACACACACACACACACACACTCTCTCTCTCTCCCTTTCACACACTCACATACACACACACACACACACACACTCTCTCTCTCTCTCTTTCACACACTCACATACACACACACACACACACACACTCTCTCTCTCTCTCTCACACACACACACACTCACTCACTCACTCACTCACTCACTCAGAAGAGTGTGATCTACCCTATTCTGGTCTGTGCGAATCTTTGTCTTCTTCAGCGGGGGTTTGTGAGACAGATTCTCTGTAAAACTGCAGTGAAACAAACAAATGCGTATTCTATTCTAGTCTGCTCTTTGTTCACATCTATTCTATTCTCTTTTCTATTCTGTCCTACTCTTCGTTCTCGTCTATTCTATTCTACTTTTTGATTCTATTCTCGCTTCTCTATTCAATTCTATTCAGTACACTGCAAAGTGTCGTCTAACACGATGGAAGAGGCAAAATCTTTAAGAAACTACAGCTAGAAGCAGATTTCACTTAATACATCTCTATTTTCTGTGGTTTTCTGGCATTCTGCTCTCCTGCTTCTGATGCTCGTGTTGTCCTCACTCCTGCAGATCACAGCTAGCGCGGAGAGACTTACCGAGCAGCAGACGCAGCTCCATCTTGAGAAGGCGAGGACGAGTCTGCGAGAGGAAGTCCGGGAGCAGGTGCGAGGCTGGCTCGGTCCCCCGCAGAGAGGCAGATCTGGGTCCGAGCCGCGTCTGCAGGACACGCAGAGACCCGGAGAGCGCACGCGCACGCCACCGACGGCACGCGTCAGTCCTTCAGGCGTTTCACTCCAACAAGAGCAAGCCAGGGATGGGTTTAGTTTAAAAAAAGGAGTCCTTAAATGGGACACCGGGGTAAGTTGTCACATGATCTGTGCGTCTCAAAATAGAATCATTTTGAGCAATACGTTAAAACAATAAAGCACACTTACATTAAGACAAGTATATTTTGGAAAGTCATGAGAGGTATTTGTATGTCAGCTTTTACATTGGAACTTTTTCGTGCATTGTTTCATCATTTAGTGTTTGAATATTCAGAGTCTGTGGATTCAGAGTCAGGTTTCACTGAGACAACTTACCCCGTAGAGCGTGACAAGAAGAGGAGAAAGAATCCTGCTCGATAACAATGTGAATGTTCAAATGCCTTTTTTGTAGACTTGTGTCTAAACAGAAATTGACTTAAGAAAAAAAAAAGCCCACTGTGACAACTAGCCCCAGTCTGCCCTAAAATAAATTAGTATTCAAAACACTGGCAAAACGTCTATAAAAATAAATAAATGTAATATAAAACAATATACTGTATATCAAAAACTGGGAATCAAACATTCCTAAAAAAAAAAGCTGCAGGCCAGTGGCAGGGCTCGAAAATGTTCATACAGTAGGTCCTAAACATATACACTCAAACCTAAATTTATTCAGACACCTTTAACATTTCTCACATTATCAGTTTATTCGCTATAGTTCAACCGATCTCATGAAAGCGCGTATAAATAGTACGCCAAATAAAAACCTAAACTCGTGGTATTGATACGCAGACATGTACTGTGGCGTGCATATGCTACGCAATGGGAAGGATTAGGGTTGTGGGGTAGATGCGTAGCATAGGCACGCCACAGTACATGTCTGCGTATCAATACCACGAGTTTAGGTTTTTATTTGGCGTACTATTTATACGCGCTTTCATGAGATCGGGCTCTGTAGAAAGTGGTACTAAAATATGAGAAGAACTCAGAGTCAGAACAAACTCATCTTGATAATCTCAGATAACTTTGATAGAAAGGTATGTAATGAATTCGGTTGAATAGCTGTCAGCGGTTACATTTAAGAACACAATGAGATAAAACCCATTTAGTTCAACTAATTACCAAGCAGTGCTTCATTCTGTTCAGTCTGTGGTGTAGAAAGATCACATTAGCAATTAAAGAAAAACACTTCAGAAACTCATGCTCAGCTCAAAGTTTTACTGGTAGTCCACTGTATGAAGAGTTTTTGGGTGTAATATTTCACAGTTTACTTTATTTTGCTCTCATCGCTTACATGAATGAGCTATAGTGTCCTGCACCCACTAGTAACAAAATATCAACAATTATATCTGCTGTCTGAATGATTTTTTGGTTTGACTGTAACTACATACCATTGTGAGAAATGCTTTGGATAAAAGTGTCTGCTAAATGAATAAATGAAATGAAACTACAGGAGTGATTTATTCCAAGCTCTTATATTGCTCGTTGGCACAGCACTAGTTAGTAGGTTAGTGTTCAGTCTCTCCTCGCTCCTCAGACATCAGGAGCAGCTTTAAACTGAACGTCAAACTCACACTTGACCGCGCTGATGCTGTCCTTCAGCGGGGGTTTGTGAGACAGATTCTCTGTAAAACTGCAGTGAAACAAACAAATGCGTATTCTATTCTAGTCTGCTCTTTGTTCACATCTATTCTATTCTCTTTTCTATTCTGTCCTACTCTTCGTTCTCGTCTATTCTATTCTACTTTTTGATTCTATTCTCGCTTCTCTATTCAATTCTATTCAGTACACTGCAAAGTGTCGTCTAACACGATGGAAGAGGCAAAATCTTTAAGAAACTACAGCTAGAAGCAGATTTCACTTAATACATCTCTATTTTCTGTGGTTTTCTGGCATTCTGCTCTCCTGCTTCTGATGCTCGTGTTGTCCTCACTCCTGCAGATCACAGCTAGCGCGGAGAGACTTACCGAGCAGCAGACGCAGCTCCATCTTGAGAAGGCGAGGACGAGTCTGCGAGAGGAAGTCCGGGAGCAGGTGCGAGGCTGGCTCGGTCCCCCGCAGAGAGGCAGATCTGGGTCCGAGCCGCGTCTGCAGGACACGCAGAGACCCGGAGAGCGCACGCGCACGCCACCGACGGCACGCGTCAGTCCTTCAGGCGTTTCACTCCAACAAGAGCAAGCCAGGGATGGGTTTAGTTTAAAAAAAGGAGTCCTTAAATGGGACACCGGGGTAAGTTGTCACATGATCTGTGCGTCTCAAAATAGAATCATTTTGAGCAATACGTTAAAACAATAAAGCACACTTACATTAAGACAAGTATATTTTGGAAAGTCATGAGAGGTATTTGTATGTCAGCTTTTACATTGGAACTTTTTCGTGCATTGTTTCATCATTTAGTGTTTGAATATTCAGAGTCTGTGGATTCAGAGTCAGGTTTCACTGAGACAACTTACCCCGTAGAGCGTGACAAGAAGAGGAGAAAGAATCCTGCTCGATAACAATGTGAATGTTCAAATGCCTTTTTTGTAGACTTGTGTCTAAACAGAAATTGACTTAAGAAAAAAAAAAGCCCACTGTGACAACTAGCCCCAGTCTGCCCTAAAATAAATTAGTATTCAAAACACTGGCAAAACGTCTATAAAAATAAATAAATGTAATATAAAACAATATACTGTATATCAAAAACTGGGAATCAAACATTCCTAAAAAAAAAAGCTGCAGGCCAGTGGCAGGGCTCGAAAATGTTCATACAGTAGGTCCTAAACATATACACTCAAACCTAAATTTATTCAGACACCTTTAACATTTCTCACATTATCAGTTTATTCGCTATAGTTCAACCGATCTCATGAAAGCGCGTATAAATAGTACGCCAAATAAAAACCTAAACTCGTGGTATTGATACGCAGACATGTACTGTGGCGTGCATATGCTACGCAATGGGAAGGATTAGGGTTGTGGGGTAGATGCGTAGCATAGGCACGCCACAGTACATGTCTGCGTATCAATACCACGAGTTTAGGTTTTTATTTGGCGTACTATTTATACGCGCTTTCATGAGATCGGGCTCTGTAGAAAGTGGTAATAAAATATGAGAAGAACTCAGAGTCAGAACAAACTCATCTTGATAATCTCAGATAACTTTGATAGAAAGGTATGTAATGAATTCGGTTGAATAGCTGTCAGCGGTTACATTTAAGAACACAATGAGATAAAACCCATTTAGTTCAACTAATTACCAAGCAGTGCTTCATTCTGTTCAGTCTGTGGTGTAGAAAGATCACATTAGCAATTAAAGAAAAACACTGAAGAAACTCATGCTCAGCTCAAAGTTTTACTGCTAGTCCACTGTATGAAGAGTTTTTGGGTGTAATATTTCACAGTTTACTTTATTTTGCTCTCATCGCTTACATGAATGAGCTATAGTGTCCTGCACCCACTAGTAACAAAATATCAACAATTATATCTGCTGTCTGAATGATTTTTTGGTTTGACTGTAACTACATACCATTGTGAGAAATGCTTTGGATAAAAGTGTCTGCTAAATGAATAAATGAAATGAAACTACAGGAGTGATTTATTCCAAGCTCTTATATTGCTCGTTGGCACAGCACTAGTTAGTAGGTTAGTGTTCAGTCTCTCCTCGCTCCTCAGACATCAGGAGCAGCTTTAAACTGAACGTCAAACTCACACTTGACCGCGCTGATGCTGTCGATGCTTGGCTTGCTCCCTACTTGAGGGTGCTTGTTTCCCAGGGGAAAAGTCTCTGACCTTGGGATGCAGCGGCCGGGTGCTTCTGGAGCCTCCGGCGACTCTCTGCTGCTCCTCTTGAGCTCTGGAAAGGTGAATCTCCTTGACAGCCGGAGGGTGCTCAGAGATCTGGAGCCGTGCTCAAACCCGGTTTTGCTTCTGCGTAACGGCTTGAGGCGCTCCGGAGAGCAGTGCTAGTCGGCAAACTGCACCTCTTCTGATAGTAACAGTCATCCAATCTTCTGACGGGCGCGTCAAACGCCAGCTTCTTGGCTTTCTCGAGCTCCTCTTTGGCACTTTTGCTGAAAGGAGTTAATAAAATGCCAAGAGGACCAGAAGCGGGCGCACAACTCGTTTTGGAGGCTCTTGGTGAGTAAAACAGCGGAGGCAGGTGATTGTTGGGGCATTGATGCTCTCTGTGTTTCTGAGGAGGTTTTGGAGTGAAAACACCAGAGAACATCCGGCCTTGTGGTGATGAAGCATCACCTTCCCTCTCGTATTCCTCAATGGAGTCCATCGACTGGATTCTCTTCCGCGAACTGATGGACCGTTTACGGGTTAAACTGATGGGAAGTCGAGTCCCGTCTTCAAATGCATGGATCTGGAGAGGCTTCTCCTCGTGTTGAGCTTCACTGATGTTCACAGTGGAGAGTTTCTCAGCGAGTGCATCACCATCGTGAACCCTCCTGGAGTTACTCAGAAGCGCCTGCAAGCAGTCAGTGTGTCTGAGATACCTGGCCACCTCAACTGCAGAGTTGCCCACCTCATTTTTCCGGTCGATCTGGAGACCCAGCCTTTTGAAAGAGCGCACCAGGAACTCCACGACGGCCGAGCGTCCGGCCACGGCGGCGTACATGAGCGCAGTGTTCCCCCAGGCGTCCGCTGACCTTGGGATCCGCGCCGTTCTTCACCAGGATCTTCACCGCGTCCAGGTGTCCCATCTCGCAGGCGTAGCTCAGCGGCGTGCTGCCGCTCTCGTCCTGGAGATTCACGCTCGCACCCCTCTGCAGCAGAAGATTCACGAACCTGCATCTCGCAGGCGAATCCTGGAGGAATACGGCGGAGATCAGAGGCGTCTGCACCCCTTCGCTCTCGGAGTCGACGATTTTCCCATCCAGAGCGTCTAAGACGAACCTGGCGAGGTGGATCTTGTCGTTGGAGATGGCGTCCAGAAGGATTCCGGTGTCGGTTTTGGAGCCGCACTTGTCTGAGGGTTTGAGCATGTTTCCTGATGGAGGCTGATGGAGATCTGCTTTATACCGCTGCGCTGTGGAGTTTCCACGACAACGTGAATCTCATCATCATACTTTATTGTTCGTAAGTGGATGTGTATTGATGTGCTGATTTTAATAAGGGCTTCAGAGAAACACGCCGACTGAACCGTATGAATACATGTGCCAATTATTGACTGAAACGCTGCTGTTCTTTGTGCTGGAGAGACTGAGACAACTCAAGACACCGACAGCTGTCGT